AGTTTTTATAGCAATTTTATATTTTTTTTAATTTTAAGACATTTTTCACGAACTTTCGCCCACATTTCTTTTCGTATAACTTAGATTGCGAACATTACTTTTTATTGTTTCTTTCCTAACGACATTTTTTTATATTTTCGAATTTTTTTGAATTTCAAAAAAATTCGAAAATACCAAAAAACAATTACTTTTGGATAATACCATTGTATTATCAGCACATCCCAATCATTTATAATCGTTTTAAAGCGATGCTAAATTTTACTGTAAGTAAGTAAAGTTTTTTGGTGTAAAATTACATAAAAATAAAATTATGATCAGAAAAATATAGGAAATATAGTAGAAAAACTATTTAGCAGTTATTAATTTCAATATTTTATGTAATTGAGTTATTGAATTAAATTTCTGTGAGTTCAGTTCATAAAAACAAACTATGATATTAAATATGAAGGTGCTTTTTTTTATTCGGTATATTTGTTTTTTGTTTTGATTGTATAATAAAATTACAGATGAAATTATTATAGGGTACAGTCGAGAAGAAAATTTCACCGAATTTGGTAATCACCAAATTAGCTAACAAGAAAACGGTCGTTCCTATGCAAGAAAAAATGGTAAACGATTCCCCCACTTTGCCATTACAGGTAATTGTGAATGCTACCAATCAATCACAACAGGTACTCCCAGAAGCAACGATCAGTTTTATGGCAAGGTATATTTGAATAATAATATTATGAATAACAATAAAATAATAATAATAATATGGATAATAATATTTAAATAGAATTGTAATTATCAAGTTTAGATTTTAATTGCTGTTTTAATTTAGATATAAATAATTAATTGCAATGTTTTTTTATTATGAAAAATAGCAAAAATGCAAATGTTAAATGACATCTGGTCAAGATATTTTAGTATTTGCTATAAATTTATATTTATTGTAAATTTTGCCTTTTATTTTTTCCCTCCAAATACTGATTTTTTCCCTCCAAAAACTTATCATGTAAAGAAATATTTATTCTTCAATAAATAATTTTTCCAATCAAAATTATCATTTAAAATCTAATTTAGATTAATTTTCAGCAGTCCAGCAAGCAGTGTCGATTCAGGCATGTCATCATTAAGTTCTTCTAATAGTTCACCAGCATCATCTCCTAATTGTTCACCTATATCAGTTGATAATATTCCATTCCATTACGGTATGTATTTCATGCAGATCATAATTTTTGCATAAATTTATTATTGTATATGTTTCTTATCATTCAAGTAAGTCATAAAATATTCATGACATTAGGAATCAATAAGATATCTGGGAAAAAATTTTGATACTATTTAAGGAACAAATATTGAGCAAATAATAGTGCCTCGTAACCGTTCTACTAGTGAAAGTATTTCTGTGGTAAATGGTCTTAAAAGTATTTTGAAAAAGTCGACTGTGGGATATATTACTGTAGGACGTTTCACCAGGTTTGTAATTTACTTATTTTTGATTATTAAATTATATACAAAGAAAATTTGTCTATTAATAAAATTGCTCATTTATGAAGTCAAGTAAATAAGTAGGTATTCAGTAACTCTTTATAGATATACACTTTTAAAATTTAGCATATTTTACTTCACACTTGATAATTATCAAGATTTTTTCATGTATAGCTATATTAGACATCTGAAAGTAATCTAATGCAAAGCTTAGAAAAATAACAGTTTGTTTTGCTTAGAAATATTACGCTTGTATTCAGTGTATAATTTGTTTTAGATCGTATTCAGAATGTCAAAGTAGAGAAGAATCAGAAATTAACGGCATAATCGTTGATAAAAATTGTAATAATGGTATGTTTAATATATTTTGTGTTTTTATTTTTAAATTTTTATCTACATAGCAAAGAAATTTAAAATATAATAATAATAATAA